GAGAGAGAGAGAGTTATAACAGCTCAAAACCCACCCACAAATCCCACACCCAGTGACGTACTTCTCCATCAAGGCTGCAGCTCCTAAAGGTTCCATAACAAATACATGAGCCTATGGGACACATTTCTCATTCAAACCATTACATTTTCATTTTTCAATGGAATGGACCTAAAGATTTTAAATAGTCAAATAATGAAATTTATTAAATTTTTCCAATTTTTGCCATAATTGGTTTGGTAGAAATTTCAATAAATTAAGATGTGTGCTCATTTAAATGTTCATCTAAACCTTTTATATTTTAATTCCTCTACCTAACTCTTTACTATATTTGTAATTTATTTGTAAACTGCATTAATTGTAATTTAATTGTAAATAAATTGTAAATAATTTTGACATGTAGTATAGTTCTGAGAGATGTATCCAAAGAGTTAACAATATGGTTGCATATGAGGTTTTAGTTGTTTTTTAACACTAGAAACCTTTCTTCAAAAGATGGTTTTACTGAGTATGTGGATAGGTAGTGGGCACAAGAGTCTTTGGGACATTGCAAGAATTAAGGAGCTGTCAATATACCCTCCTTTGGCACTTCCTTCCCTGGTCAGCAGCTCCCACTCCTGGGATTTCTCACTGCTCCTTATAGCTTCCTCCTACCACTTACTCCTCTGCTTCGCATCTTGTGTCCTAAAACTAATTCCCTCTGGCATCTTGGAGCTATCAGCCTCTAGGCATCAACCACTTTCCACACTGAATGGCTTTTAAGTCCTCCTTTCCATCCCACGCCTCCATTCAGAGTTCCTGCCAATAAGTAAAATACTCTACAGATGTGTCTTTATCATTTCAACCAAGTGATGTTCAAAACTGAGTTTGTATATCCCCTTTTTCAAACCATCTCGGCTGTCTTCTTTACCTTGAAGAATGTGGCTGCTGGCTTTTTAATTCCCTAAACAACCTGAATGCCCTTATGCGGCCACTCCTTCTCCATTCCCACACACTCATTAAATCCTTTTACATCATCTCTCCAAATATCTCCCTTTCCACCTCTCAAAAGTCGATTTTATTTCTAGGCTACTGCAAAACCTGCTTACCTTCCGCAGCCACCGTCTTCTCTGCAGACCGTCTTCCTCACTACATTTCTAATGAAAACTGAACTGGCTTCTAATCCCTTTCTCACTAGTATCCACAGCTGTCAGGAAAGGGCCCTGATTTCCTTGGACCACCTTCCTCCAACTGCCTCCTGCCGCCAGACAACCACCGGAAGTCACTCCAACACCAGGTGCCTTCTAGAAGCCCTGGCTCACTCTGCCTTCCGGGTTCAGCCCAATGGCTACCATTGAGGGGAGGCTTTCCCTGGCCACCCAAGTCCAACAGCCCTCTGCTGCTGCGGAGCCTCCTTCTCCAGAAGGAAATAACTCAGCCAGTGTAAGAGAAGTAGAGAAAGGAAGAGGTTTGTTTGTTTGTGGAGTCTAATGTACCCCAAGCTGACCTCAGACCTGCTTTAAAGCAGAACATATACTCCTTCACCTGCAGAGTGCTAGAGAGTTTAAAAACAGCTTTGGATACTGGAGGTTGGGACATCTCTTGTTGACAGGAAAGTAGCTGAGCCTCTCCAGGCCTGCTTTGCCTTGTTTTTGCTAGGGACATTGCTCTGTAACATCACATCTGACCTCACAGATTGACTGCTGGGCTGTTTAAAGGTTTTGAATAGTCAATGAAATCTTTTTTACTTTTTTTGGTTTCTGCCTTAGCTGGCTAGTAGAAATCTCAATCTACCAAGAGTATTCATTTCAATCATTTTCTAAACCTTTTATGGCTTGAGTCTCACATCTAACTCATTTGTCATGTAAGCTCCCTGCAGGCAAACATAAGTCGTCATCCCCTATGGGTCACCTTAGCTTAGCCATGAGTCTAACACTCAAGGGGGAACCAGCTGTTCAGTAAATAGTGAACGTGGGGCTTTTCTGGCTCAGGGGTCAAGTTGCTCCTGCAGTGGCTGTCGCGCAGGTGGTGGGCGACAAGCAGCCAGGCCCCTTCTGGCCCTCTGCCCGCTGCCCGTGGTGGATCAGAAGCTCCCTGGCGTACCAGGGCCAGTAGCCAGGCGTGGACATCCTCCTGGTTCCCGAGGCTCGCCTGGGCACAGAGTCGGCGGCCCGTGGCCTTCAGCGTCCGGCTGGGGTGTTGATGGCCTTGCAGAGCGCACCTGACCCAGCGGGCGGGGCGGCGGGCGGGGCGGCGGGACTGACGTGGCCCGCGGCATGGAGCGGGCGTGATTCATCAGCGCCACCAAGCGCGATGGGGACCAGCGCAGCGGCCGCCTAGGAGCCAGGGCCAGGCAGCGGCGGCATCCCCGCCCGGCACCCGCGCGCTCTCTCTGTCCAGCCCCGCGAAAAGGTCAAGATGGAAGAGATCCTGAGGAAGCTGCAGAAGGAAGCATCGGGGAGCAAGTACAAAGCCATCAAGGAGAGCTGCACCTGGGCCCTGGGTAAGCGCGTCCGGGTTGCGAACGAGAGCCGGGAGGGGACGCTCGCCAGGCACCTGCTGGCCGCCCGCGACCGCTGGAGATCCTGGGCCGGGTCCCCTCGGCGAGCGGGACCGTCGCTGTGCGTGGCTTATGGATGCGTGTCGCGCAATTGCGAGAGTTGCCTGCGAGAATTGATGCGGGGTATGGGAATCTTGACTCGGGCGTGGGCATCCAGCTGTCTCCGCTCTGCTGTCTTTATTTTCTCCCAAACCTGAAATAGGAACGCTGCTTTTCGCGTTAGGCAGCCCCAATCCGGGTCCCCGGCACAGTGGACAAAGGTCCCCCATTGCCTAATTAGACCCTACAGCAAGAGTGAATCCAGGGCCCTGGTTCCCAGGCTTCTGGAGGAAGAGGGAAGTTAAAGCAACAGCCCTCTTCTCAAACACTGGTGAGTGGAACCAGGAAGGAAGGCTTGTTTAATTTGATTTTCCTGATAGAGGCCAGCTTGCTAAGTATTGGCTTTCATAGTTGTTGTGCATGGAAAATAACAGATGGAGGAATTGTGTTACTCCAATTTTGTTGCGGCCTGACCCTCAGGTGGGCTTTTAGATGTGTGAGCTGAGCTGGTACTGAAATAAGTTCCCCTGTAGCAAATTAGCATTTCCCATCACCCAGGCTGCAGGTCTCAACAACAGAAGGGAAAAGACAACAACAAAAAACGTAATGACTATCAATTAGGCAAGACTGGGGCACTCAGAATAGTGGGGATGAAAATCCAAAAGAGCCAGAGTACACTTTGGGTGATACAGGTGCCTTTATAAAAAGAAAAGGCCAAGAAGGAACCAGGGCAGCTCCATGAGCCCCTGGCCTTGCCAGAGCCTGCCTGTGATTCCTGGGAAACCACTCAATTAAGAAAATAGAACACTATTCCCTTGAAATCAATAACGGTCCATAGTTGTCATGATTCTGGGCTGCATGCAGCTGGAAAAGAGACAGAGAAGTACCATTAGCTGGTGTTTCACTAAAGGCAGAATTCTGATAGGTCACACTTCGTTCACATGTTTTCATGTTTGTGTGTAGACAATCATAGCAACACCATCCTTTGTTTAATCCATGCATCTCACAAAATTGTCTAGACTATTGCCTCGAGAGTTCATGTTTAGGTGGAACTAAGTGCTTGACTGTTTTGGTTTACTGTTAAATGAAAATGAGAGAGCATCACGGCTCTTAGAGCCATAGTACTGTTTTGGGGTGGTCCTTGTCAGTCAACAGTGATTCTGAGCTAGATTCCCAAATGCCTCTAATGAAAAATCACAGATGGCTGGGCAGCATAATAAAGGAGGGCAGACTGTGCACCGAACATCTCATTCTTAGTATTCATTATTATTTTGCCATTGAGTAAAGCAGATTTAGATAAACAAGGAGGTGGAGAGAAATCTAGTGTTTTTAATAAGCCTGGAATTTGATATTCAATATCTTATTAAGCTTAAACTACAGTGTGGTTGAATTTAGGCCCTTGAAGCTACCAGAGAAGCCCAGAACTGAGGAAAGGTAGATGTTCTGGGTCAAGCCCAGAATCCAGCTTGGCTATAAGAGTGGACGTGGTTTCTTTTGCAGTGCAGTGATTATTCTGTAATGAGCAAGAGAAGAGGTAAGCATGTGAAATAGTTAAATAGTGTGGAGCATTCCTTTGTACCTGGGAGTAACCACACCTGGAAAACAGGCCAGAGAATAGGGTCTAAATATGAGTGAGGGTGCATGATGGGGGATTTAGAAGTAGATTTCACTTAAACAATTGGTAAGCTGTGAGTTCTTTTTTCTTCTGCTTTTTTTTTTTTTTAATTTTTTTAGCAAACATTTGAAATCTCCCTGTCTCTCCTCTGTATTGAACAGCATGGTAAATCTGAAAGAGGTTACTGAAAGGGCATGGGGGTAGAGGGTAAGATGCAGTATAAACAAAGGCACGAGAGGTAGTTTCCTGCTGTCTTTCCAATTCCCTCCATTTCCACACTGCCACATCTATGTTTTTACTATAAGACATTTGTCACTCCTCGGCCCTCATAATTTCTTTCTAGATGAACATGTAAATACCTAAGAATGCACCTCAGAATCTAGACCAGTTCTTATGCACCCACCAAAAACTCAAGGGCCTGATGGCAGTTGGCTATGGCACTTTCTGGATCATGCTGTGCACAGCCCAGCACTTTGGTCTTGCTACACCTTCTGCTAGGAATTCCCTGTACAGATGCTCCAAGGCCCTGCTCACGCAGGACACATTTACTGCGCTCCTCAGTGGAACCAGTTACCATGGCTGGCTCAGAGCCCTGCCCTCTTAGAACACTCATTTCTTTGGATCATGGAGTCGTGTGCACCACTGTCTGTTAGGGGAGGATAATTGAGAAATATGTTGAGTGCAAGATGTCAGATGATGAAAACTGACCTGGGTACCAAACAGTTTACTTGCTCCATCCATTAAATATCCCATAGAAGAGTAGCTGTGGGTTTAGTTTGATATGGTAATTATACACAGTTTTAAGGACCTTGTCTTAATCTTTATGGATTGGCTGACATGCTCTACATCAGTTCTGGGTTTGTGATTGGCCACATTTAAGACCACCTTATAAGAAAAGGGTGTGAATAAACTAAGACCACTTTGGGAGAGTGGGGTCATCCCACCTTGGGCTATTATGGTAGAAAGTGGTCATCTTTCATGTTAAACCATCATGGGAGAGGGACACCATCCCCTACTTAGGCTATCTTAGGAAAGAGGAGTAATCTCTACTCTCAGACTTTCATCTGAGACAGCACCATCATGGGAGGGAGAGGCTGTCTCCTATTTAGATCATCTTAAGAGAGAAGGCCCATCTCCATAACAATGAGGAAGGCCAGGTATGTTAGGGGGAAAGAGGCAAACTGCATGGTGGCTAGAAGCTGATGCAACCACAGAGCTGTATTGCAGCAGAGCATTGTGTGAGTACTCAAACAGTAAAACAGCAGCTGGGATCAGCATGGCTAACCTGGAGCTCTGCTAACTGTCCTTGGCTTTAGTGTCTCCACACCATTAACCTGGCAGAATTGGCTGTTCCCATCTGAAGACTCCAGATAAGGACAGAAAGGGAAGTAAACTCAATTCTGTGAGAAAGTCAGGCCCATTCCTAGAATTTCCCTCTTCTAATTCATGAATAACCATCGCTCCATTAAACTTCACCCACAAGACCAGCTACCTAAAATCAAGGAAGTACAGCTTTCTTGAGAAGTTTTTGGCTTTTTTCTCTGAAATAATACTTCTTCCCAATTTCTTACTTTGTGTCACCTCTAAATACTTTTTGTGACAGTGACAAAAACCTGGAAACATGAGGTCCCTGCTCTGTTTCTGAGACCTCCCCAGCCTTAAACCGGCAACACTTAAACTGTCTAAGGGGAAATGGATCATCCACCACTTAGACGATCTCAAGGCAAGGAGGCATTCTTCTTTATACCTTCTTAGAAGAGACGTTATCACCACACTCAGTCCATCTCAAGAGAAAGAGGCTCTTCCGATGTGGTCCTTGGTTTTCCCAATTCTCTCTATGGCATGATGAACTATGTTACTATCCCTGAACTTGTGCTCTAGCCAAGAAAGGTACTAAGATAACCAGCTTAGGCGACACCATGGGGCCCACTGAATTCCAGGGTCAAAGAAAGATGTTTTTCTCAGAGCGAAATTAGGGTGTTGCTTAGAAGGCAGGAGAGTTGACACTGGACAATAAAACAATAAAGGTCAGCATAGTGCTGTCAGATAAGCACTGTGTGGATATTTCTTTGTGATTTTTGTACCTACAGTTTGAGGACGAGGCAGCTGCTCAATAAATAAATAAACTCCTTAATAAACCATCTGATTTCAGATGTTATTTATCTTTTTTAATACACAAGTCACATGTTCCTTATAGAATATTGAAAAAAATAGTAGTACAGTATAAAGAAAAAGTAAATATCACCTGTAATTCCACCACCCAGAGATAACGTTGTATAGGATTTAAAAGCTTTGCCTTGGGGCTAGAGATTTGGCTCAGCAGTTAAGAGCACTGACTGCTCTTGCAGAGACCCGGGTTCGATTCCCAGCACCCACATGGCAGCTACAAACCGTCCTTAACTCCAGTCCCCAGGGAATCTGAAGCCTTCTTCTGACCTCTGTGGTATTGCATGACATGGGTACACTCACATACATGCAGGCAATGCACTCATACACATAAAATAAAAATTAAAAAAAGGTTTGCCTTTTATAAAGGATCATACCACACATGGCATATTGTCATTTATTTTTTAATATTAGTCTTTTAATTTTTTTCTTTAGTGCATTTAAATTTTTACAGTTATTTATTTATCTATAGGAGAAAGGAGCACCATGGCACACATGTGGAGGTCAGAGCACAACCGTTTCACCATGTGGGTTCCAGAAACTGAGCTCAGTTCATCAGGCTTGGTGACAAGTGCCTCTTTATCTGCTGAGCCATCTCACCAGCTCCTTTAATGCATATTTTCTTACTCTTTTTATTCTTTTCTGCTCTATTATAATACTTCGCTGGAAACGAGTGTGTTTTCTTGTTTTATTTTTGTTCTGTTTTTTGAGCCAGAGTCTCCCTGTAGCCCCAACTGACCAGGAACTCTCTATGGTCTCAATGTCCTAAAGATCCACCTGCCTCTGCCTTCTGAGTGTTGGGATTAAAGGCTTGTGCCACTACGTTAGGCTGAAATTAGTGTTCTGAATGGTTGCAAAATAGGTAGCAAGGAATGCATGTGTACTTCCTCTTTGTTCTGTGTGTCTGGACTCATGTTCGTCATTGAGGATGTGATCAGACCGAGTAGAAAAGATTGAGTTGGTTGTGGTGAGTTCACAAAACCTGAAAGAATAGGGTTTTCCTTCAGAAACTGGCGACTTTCTGAGGCTGCGACAAGCACATGAAGATAAAAAGGGGGTGGCTGAAAGTTCCGTCAGGAGAGCACCATGCCCTCCCTCTAGGATTCCTTTCAGTAGTTTACTTACATCAGGAGATTTGCATAGAACGAATTTGGGAAATAAAGGAAAAGGGACATGACATCAGAGGCAAGGATCCAAACAAGAAGGATCATCTCTATAGCTACCATCCTTTCACTCACCAATCTGTTTTTCCTTCCAAATTCAGGTTCTTCCACAAGGAACCATACCCGTCCAGACTCCTTAGAGAGTCTGTAGGGGCTGTGCCCGTGTTTTCACTTCCTGCTCACTCCATCCCCCTCTGATCTGCCTTCACCTCCATCTGTGACACTGAATTTCAGTAACACCTGCTTCACCTTGCTACCACAGCCACTGTCCATGGTGCTATGGCTCCAGAGCTGCCTTGTCTCCACTGGAGTTGGACACATCCATTCCCACAACTTCGGCTCAGTTTCTAAGAGTGGGAAGCCCACGTTCCTCCTCTTTCATCTCCCAGCCCTGATGTAACTACTTATTTATTCAATATCTTTTCTCTAGTGTCTCAAAGGTGCTTGATGTTAGCAAGGTCCAAAGTGACCCTGTGTACTTCCCCACCCCTACCTCACCCTCAGCCTAGTTCACTTCCTGCTAGTGTTTCTAGGTAATTAGCTTTTCTTACCACCCTCTACCTGGCACTCTTGACAATTTCACAGTTTGAAATAAGCAGGTACAGTCTCTAAATTCCCAAAGTACGTCCATTCTCTTCATTGGGTCACCAGACTAGTACCTGGCCTGAAATTTAGTGCATCAAGGAAAGGAGACAGGAACTATCACTAACATCTAAAGATGCTATCCAACTTTTTATGGCTGATTGCATCAGCTCTTTCTAAGAATCTTGTGAGGCAGATGTTAGTCACCTTCTGTCCTAGTTAGCATTATAAATTTTTTGACTTTTTATCTTATGTATATGAGTGTTTACCTGCACGTATGTATGTGCACCACTGCGTGCAATGTCCATGGAGATCAGAAGAGGCCATCAGATCCCCAGAATGGTTAGGAGCTACTATGTGGGTGGTAGAAACCTAACCTTGGTCTTTGCAAGAGAAGCCAGTGCTCTTAACTGCTGAACCATCTTTCCAGCCCCATAGTTAACTTTCTAATGCTGTGAGAAAACACTGACAAAAGCAACTTGTAGAGGAAAAGTTTCATTTGTTTTATAGCTCACAGTCCATTATCAAAGGAAGCTGAGGCAGGAGCTCAGAGCAGGAACCTAGAGACAGGAACTAAAGCACAGACTATGGAGGTACACTGCTTACTAGCTTGCTCCCCTGGCCCATGCTCAGCCTGCTTTCTTATATAACCTAGGACCGCCTGCCCAGGGGTAGCACCACCCACAGTGGACTGGGCCCTCCCACATCACTCACCTTTCAAGAAATTGCCTCACAGGCCAACCTGATAAAAGAAATTCCCTGAGGTTCCCTCTTCCCAGGTGTGTCAAGTTGACAACAGAAGCCAACTATGACATCTCCCCTTGCAGGTGGGGCAACTAGGCTAGGGGTGTATGTCAGAGGCAGAACACTTGCTTAGCATGCATAAAGTCCTGGGCTCAATCCCAGAATCAAAACAAAACAAAACAACAAACCTGAAGGTGAGGGAACCAAAGCTTGGAGATCGGTGATGTGGCCCATCCCGCAGTACCACAGATGTGTAGAGCCAGAGATAGAATGTGATTCTCTTTTTTCTCTCTTGATCTTTCTGTGGTATTCCTTCCCCAAATCCTTTTCTGTCCTGTACTACAGAGCATTGCTGGGGAAGGACAATCCTGCACATTGCAGGTCTTCCCTTCTTTGGCCCTTGGGTATTTGCCTTGAGTTCCACCCTTGTCCCCACATACCTGGGGGAGGGGAAGACTATCCTCTGAGACTGTGGGTGTTAATGGCAGTTGGATGGCTGCCTTTTCTCTTCCCCTACCCTTTTTTGGGAATGGTGCTGGGGATCAAACCTAGAGTCTTTCATGCTAAGCAAACTCTCTTTTCTCTTTCTTCTGGCTCACTTAGCATTTGTAGGTGTAGCAGTGCTGAATCCTGAGCTGAAGATATGCCCCTGTGTCTGGAGGGACCATGATGCTGGTTTGCTAGTCTGGGTTGTTTCTTCTCCTTGACCAGCAGCGTGGACTTGCCCTGGGCGCTGCGCCCTGTCATGCTAACTCCTGGGCTGTGTTAACCTGTGGTGACCCTTTGAGCTGCTCCCGGTATCTGCATCTCAGGGCTTCATTGTCCTGTCAGCCCACCTCACCTTTAACTCTGACCTCAGCCCTTCCACCTCCTCCCTGGGCCTTATTCTTGTGGCACTGCTGACCCTGCTCAGCTCTTCCTTCTGTTTTCTTGATGAGTCATCTTGCATAAAACTACTCTTTTTGCTCCTGGCTACAGCAGTCCTAATCCTGTCACACTTTGGCCTGTTAGTGCTAAGTCTAAGGGATATATTTGGTCTCTTGTTCCCTCTGGTCTCCTAGCAAGGGAGGGATTGTCTGTCCTTTCCCGAGTGAAGTAGTTCAGATTGACAAAGCTTGCTGACTCAGAGAGGTTGGGCTGATTACCTGGAGACAAACTGAGGCAACTGAAATAGAGCAATGTTTTGGAAAGAGAATGGTTAGCTTGTTATTGTCTCTGCAATTGGATACAGCAGTAGTATAAACAATCCACAAACAGTAGTAAAGTATTGAGCATCCAGGCCAGATTAATGAGATTTTGGGGTGAGTCTTGCATCCATTGCCCCTATCTGTAGTGTGATTAAACAGAGGTGTTAAATCTACCACATCACAAATGTGTATAGGATAACCACATGTCCATAACATGCTTTGTAAACTTGAAAGTATGATTTGTTTTTGAAAGACACTGGTTCAAGGGGACAACTTCTGTTTTTCTAATCGGAAAAATATAGTCTCTTGGTAAGTTGTGGATAGATTGAATTGACATTCTTGCTCAGGCTAGGAATTTAACTATTCATTCTTTGACATAAAGGGAAATGTGTCCTAACTTTTTATTTATTTATTTATTTATTTTTTTTTTTGCTGGCCTTGAACTCACAGAGATCCACCTGTCTCTGCCTCTGCTTCCTGAGTGTTGAGATTAAAGGCGTACACTACCATACCCAGCGAAAGTATTTTTTTTGCTTTTACAAAAACTTTGTTGAGAATTTCATACATGCATATAAGATGTTTTGAACTAGTTTTTAACCTTCTCTTTCCCAATAATGAGGTAGGTGAGATCCATGGGAAAAGGATTTTAAAATAATGATGAATTACGTGAGAAGTAACTAGTTTATACTTCCCAGGGAAGAAAAAATACAGGCATTCAGGGTATATAGATTTTAGTATTCAAATATTATTTTAACTCACAATCTTTAAAATTTGCTATTGTAACTGCAATTTTTCTTTTGCAGAAACTTTAAGTGGCCTGGACACCGTTGCCAAGATCCCTCCCCATTTGCTGAGGTAAGAGATAGAGACTACACAAAAATGGTCCACCATGTTTTCCTGAAGGCCATATCACCTTGTGATTTGCAACATTTTATGTGCTGACTAATTTTTGTTTTGTATTGTTGGTTTGTTGGTTTTGTATCCATGAACTGGGATATTTCATGAGGTTAGCAAGATGGAAACCTGATCCATTCCATTTGTCTGTGGAATGAATGAATGAATGATGTCAGTGATCCTAAAGAAGTAGCCTCAGAAATCAGTGGCAAAAGGACACAAGTGGTCAAAGAGAGACATGAGATGCTGACAAGGAACAGTGGATAGTGGACAAGGAACTGTGTCTACCAGTGCAGCGTAGAAAGTGGTCCGCCATCCGGGGGAGATGCACTCCTGTGCCACCTGAAGTAAATTTAAGCTCTCTCAGCAACCCTGTCCAGACACCATCTTCCTCTGGCAACTCTATAGTCACCTGCAGCAGCTCTGAGAAGGGAACCCGTTTCTGTACCTTTCTCATCTTTCCATACACCTTTTTCTTTCTTTCTTCTCATTGTGAGAGATATTCACTTTCCATGTAGAAAAAAATGGAAAGAACAAAAGAACGAAAAAGAATGTTGTCCATAATTACACACTTGGGGATAATGACCCCGTTTAACAGATTTTTCCGAAGCCCTTGTGCACACACACAGTTTTACAAATGCATATGAAATTTGACTTATAACATAGTCTTCTGCATGGATTTTTTTTTCACTCAATAGTATATGAAAAATGTTTTCTAAATCCAATAAGTATTCTTTAAATTAAAGTGCTGCATATTCTTTTATCATATGACTGTTACCTATTTAGCAGTTTTCCTATTGTTAAAGCATTGGACTGTCTCTTGGGTTTTCTTTGATGTTATGAGGTATATCAAACTTAACAGTCCTTTGTAGAGCATGGTTCTACATTGTCAAAATACAGTGATGTATTAGGCATTTCTGTTCAAGTAGATTGAGCAGGAATTATGTTTCTGTCTTTAAAAGACGTTAGCTACTTCTCTTATAGTATCTGCTACAGGCTTATATATTGCAATGACTCCATATTAATTAAACTGAGTATACTTAAGCATGCATAAAGCCTGCAAATGGACAGAACTGCAGCATCACATCTGACTTGCAGACAGCTGTCCCTGATGGATCTCCCAAAGGACTTTATAATGGCTGTGAAGGCATGATGCTTTGGGGAGTCCATTTCCTGTTTCCCAACTCCTCTAAACACCCCCCCTTGAAACTGACCTGCTCAACATTTACTTTGCCACATCTGCTTTCCTGTCTCACCTTCTGCTGGTCAGTCTTCTGCTTGACAAAGGAAAGGCACAAAATGGTGTGTTGTCTTGGAATATGAAACCCTCATCCTGTCACAAAGAACTGTGAAATCATCATGTCCATGTTGGTCAAAAGAATGTTTTTAAGTACCAGGAAACATGTCCTTTTGCAAGTTGGTAATTTTGACTTCTCAGCTCTCAGCAAACTTGAAGAAGTCCTAATCTAGCTACAAGATGATAGATGAAAATATTTTTTAGAAGTCTCCTTCATCTTATGTGAACATATGGGAAGATTTATTATTGTTTACATCTATAAGTAACAAAAGATGTAGAATTTATGCTAACAGCAGCCTTATCATAAACAGTGGGTGATACTCATCCATAGATACATGAACTGAAGGAAAAAATCAACAAGCCCTACCCATTTATTTAGAAATACATTTCCAATAAAATTGCATTTTCCCTGTTAACTATATTAACATTCTTATAAATATCGTTAATGTTCTTTGGATCAATAGTATGCATTAGTAACGATAGCTCAAACTGAAAGGAAATCGAACACTTTTAAGCACCATAGTCACAGAACCTTTTTTTTTTAAAGACACTTTACCTTCTTGGATGAAAAAACAAAGTCACTTTATGTATATTTTGTTACAGAGAAGCATAATACTGAGATTAATAAAAGTCTTTCAAGCATTAAGAAATATTTAGAGAATGAAGACATGAGTTCAAGGACAAAGGAGAACAATGCAGGATTTTTTACCGTTAAGGATGAAAGTAGCTTTCAGATTACCGCAGTATTTAGAATTCATGAGATACATTTAAAGGGTGGTATGTCTTAAATAAAAATTTAAAAAATTATAATATACTGCAATTATAGCCTTTGCAATCAAAATTATAAAGATTTTATATGTAAAAATATATGAAAACGGAATCCTAAATTTTTCTTAATAACTATATAAACCTTAATGACCACTATTTTGAAGGTTATTTTTCAGACCAAAGTATTATTTAATCTTTCTGTGGCTCTGGGTTTGTGGTAGAAGCTCAGCCTCCAATGTAAGGGTAGCAGCTAATGATGGTACCAGAGGTGGGGACTAGTCTACTAGTTGGGAACATTCATCAAAAGAGAGCCTGTGAGAAAGCTCAGCAGGCAAAGGCACTTGCTGCCAAGCCTGAGGACCTGAGTTGGATCTTCAAGATCTACTTGGTGGAAGGAGAGAACTGACTTCACAGAGTTGTTCTCTGATCTCCACAGGTGCGCTGTGGCACACGAGTTCCCGCACACATATACAATAAATAATAAATAAATAAATAAATAAATAAATAAATAAGAATTAAGTAGGTAAATGTAATTTTGGAAATTATAAAAGGGAACTGGCATTTCGTCCCCTGTGTAGGGCAGGGCAGAGGAGTTGAAGTGAATACCATTTTAATGGGGCTGAGGACGTGTGCTTGCCCCTCCTTTGAGCCACTTAGCTTTAGTTCATTCAGTGGTGTTGATCTTTATCTCACAGCCGTCTAACCATCTTGTGACAGACGGTGATTACAGAATTGGTGAGAAGGGTTCCAAAGGAAGGACTGTGGATAAACATGGGCTCAGGAGTTCTTACCTACCATCACCATTGTTGGGAATATAATTCAAAGTATTTATCCTTGTGACAGAGAGCTGCAGCATCATCCTTGCATACAGAAGAGCGTGCATTATTGCATTTTGTATGCACAGTGAAGTCCATCAAAAAGTCTTTTACAGGGAACTGAGCCACATGAAGAAGACATGGCAGAGATCTCACATCAGACACTTTATTCTGAAGCGGGAGAATGAAGACAAAACTGGAAACACTTTTACATAGTGATGAGGATAAATTTATTGTAGACTTTCCTATTTGCATAAGGAGGTTTCAGTTGTGTGAAGTGTGATTCACAGTCATGGGAGCCTCTCAGAGCCCCTTTAAGACATAGAATGAAGACATAATTAGCGCAAAGAGAAGTTATGAAATCAACAAAAAGTGGTTACCTGTGTTATGTTATTATTAGGGACGGGCTACAATGAGACACAGTAGATATTCATTAGCTCTGCTTCCTTCATTGAGGAGATCCTCCTTTAACTCATTGATTCACATGCCAAGCACTGTGCTGTTCTTATTTTTGTTTTGCTTTTATTGACGGATGGGTGGATGGATGGATGGATGGATGAATGGATGGATGGGTGGGTGGGTGAGTTGGTGAATGGATGGATGGCTCTTTGAGACAGCATCTCTACATACAGCCCAGGCTGACCTGGAACTCATCCTTCTGCTTCAGCCTCCCAATTGCCCGGAGTATAGGCATGCACCACCATGCCTATCTGTCAGGCACTTTACTTCACAGAACACTCACTCTGTTGTCACTGTCCTTAACAAGGCAACTTTCTATTTGAGCACCTTTGTAAAGAAGTCTAGGTACCCTAAACATCTAAAATTAACCTAAACGTCTGAAATTCTATCATGAGAGAAACTGTGAATGTCGTGGTCACATTCTCCCATTATCCTTTCCTCAAGTTCATAAACCAGCCATTATAGTCCCTTGACTTTATTTTCATTTCAGATACATAAATATCCTGGAAGTGATTATTTGCATATTAAAAATTCTTTTGGAAAAGGTTATAGGGATTCATTCAAACGCCAATGTATTTTGGCTGTGCTGGGTTTTTATATCCCTTTTTCAATTTATTACTCTTATATTAAATATATGACCATTATGATAAATTCTACTGTTGCTTTGCTCAGTAGTGTGCATTAGTCCTGGTAGCTCAAATCAGAAGCATATTGAACCCTTGAGTGACCTATCTAGTATTATTGCTCCTAACTCCTACTGCTTTAGCCATTGATTACTTTAAGGACTTCTCATACAAGCCTAGATTCAAATTCATGTACATGATATAAGTGATTGGTGAATATATAGTGGATTTTAGGGGAAAATCCTATGACAAAACATTTTCTATATCTAAGCCCAGAGACCTCAGTTCTCTACAACTTTGGTGGAATTGACTGGCATTCTGATATACAATCCCATCTTGCCTGTCAAATTTCCACAGAGGGTCTCTCATCTGGGATCAGGACTGGCATGAACTGAATTGTACCTTCTGATCCTGTCTTTACTTAAGTGGGTTTTTATTTTTTCACCATGGAATTTTTGTGTTAATTTTTCTTTTAAATGGGGCATTCAATTATTATTTCTCTTACTGAGATTTTAGTGCTCCCTTCGATTGTATGCCTAAGACCTGTGAGAAGGGGTTCGCCCCCTTCTAGGTCTGTTCCTGTACTCCTACACCCTCCGGAAGATCCCACAGCTACTAGCCGTCCACTTTCCCTGCCAAGATTTTTGCAGCCTTGTTTAGTAAGCTTTGGACTGTGGGCTCTTGCCAGTCTTCACCCCTCCTCCATCCTAGAGCCACCCATATGTTGAAATAGAGCATACCTGTCATGGATGCTTTTTCTTTCATATGCCAAGGCTAACGTGAGAACGACTAGTCTAGATGTGTTTGATTCATAATCCAATGGTTCCTCTTTACATGGGGCATGCCCCAGGTGGTCTTCATCAAGATATTCCACTATACATCACCTACATCTTTTCTTCTGAATCTTGCTGGCCTTAAAGGTTGCTGAGGTTCTTCCTCATCTTCACAATAGAAATGACCCTTCTCTCCTCTGTGCCTTAGTGTGTCCTTGGTGGAACT